TTTAGTTTTCTGAAATAGTTATCAGTGCGATATTCTAAACATAAAGCTTGGTATTCGGGCAGATAAACTCGCAAGCTGACTGCATTTTTAGAGATGCCCCCCCTCCGGTGGAATTCCCCTCTCCCTTTTCGCACTTGCCGCTGTTTGTTGTCTTCCCATTGTTGCATTTGGGGTCCTGTTTTCCCTTTTTCTGTATTTTTCGGTCGTGTTTTTGTTTTTACAACTTAACGTGTGTCGCACAAAGGTGCACTAACTGCCAGTGTGTGTGTCTCCTATCACAAGCTTGCAACGCTGCTGCTGGCTCTTGATATTTGGCTCAGACTGAGCCACGCCCCTCTCCCCTGTGGCAGCCGCGCCGCCCTTTCCCTTGTTGTTGCACGAAATTTATGCGCTTTCATTTTATGAAAAACTTTTGCAATAATTTCTCAAAACGTTTTTGTGGTGAATTGAAATGCGAGAAAAACATTTTGCGGATGGCGACTAAAAACTTGAGAAAAACCTTGCACCCTCGCACACAGACACTCACACACACACACACACAGCACGCACATGTGAGAGGAAACCAATACACTTGCAGGCAAAAGCCATTCCTTAAACACACACTGTACACTGGGAGAAATAGCAGGGCAGCAGCAAAAGCAAATAAAAGATGTTTCACACAGTGTACTTAGAAGAAAGACTTCAGAAGTGAAATACTAAGTTCTGTCCAAAATGAAAATGAAACTGCAAGGAAAATGTCTTTCGAGCTGCGTGTTTCGCAGTGCAGACGAACCGGAAAATAATTTTTTGTGCATCCCCTGCCACGCCCCCGCACGCTAAACGCCTCCAGGCGAAATGACGTTTACTACGCCTGCCAGCGAAAAAGTTTTCGCATCTTTTGCCGCTGTCGCTCTTTTTGGCCCGGAGCTTGGGGTTTGGTCTCTGGGTCTTGGCCAAACTTTAATGAAAAGTTTTGTTAAAAACTTTTGCGCGCTGGAAATTTCAACGCTTGAATGGGTCGCTGTTGGGGCTTTTCCGCGGGGCGGGCAGGTCCAACTGACATTAGATTGTTTTTGGCCGCGGCTCCTGGCCAAAAGTCAGCAGCAAACAGTCGGGGCAAACGGTATCAATTCTGCTATTGCAGTTGCCGACGCTTTCGTCTTGCACTTCGGCATTATTTACCTGAATAAACATTTGGTATTTTAATTACGCATCTCTGGCTCTTTTCTGTTTGCTCTGTGGTGGTTCGACGTGGCGTGGTGGTTACGTGCCACATAATTGAATTAACACACAATTTACGCTACATTGCGCAAACTTCGTCTGTCAGTGGGTCCTTCTCCTGTCTCCTTCCTCCTTTCACACAGGGGGAGCAGCCCCTCCACATATTCCACGTCCTGGGGAAGGGATTCCAGGGGTTTTCCGGTGTGTCAGCTTGTTCAGCGTTAGTTAGCACTGGCCTCGTATTTCAGACTCCTGCTCCTTGGGCATTTTCTTGTAAATCATGCCTCAGCAAGTTTCGCAAATCTGGCAAGTTCTTCGGGAAATGTTATTCCGGAGTTTAACGGCAGTGTTTCCATTGAAACTTAATTGTTTAAACTGGAAGTTGGTTGGCTGCCGATTGGGGCGCGCTTAGTGGAGTGATATTGGTAAAAGTAGTAACTAAGCATATGTCTGTTTAATATTTGTAATCCAGTGTTTGAATCAGTTTGATGCGAAACACAAACAGTGTAACTTGATGCGGTCCAATTCGCTAATAGGTATTTCATATCACACATTTACGAAGCATAGTGAGGTGGGTCAAGGGTCAACAGATGCGAGTAACGACTGTATCTGCAAACTTGCCTGGCGTTTCAGTGGATTTCTTCGATTTCTTTCTTGGCGAAACGGCTCGTAAATACATCGAAAATGCCGCCACTTGAGTTCATTCATACCCAGGAAACCAGACATCGGCCCATGCAACAATACGAGCTATATGTGCCTATATGGTCGGAGTGCCAGTACAAGTGTGGGCATGTTGTACATGTGTCTGCTCGACGGGCCTGACTTCCACGTAATTGCGAGATGCCAGTCGGGGAGGGCAACGCCATCGGCATCGGCATCGGCGTCGGCATCACATGTGGCTCATCTCCAATCCTGTGGGTAGGTAGCCGGAGTCGAGCCCTCTGGGCCTTGTCCATTCCATTCCGTCAGCAAATGCCCTGGATGAGGAGTGTCCTACACATGTAAGTCGTTACAAGGAGCGGCAGGAGATGGAACAGCGCCTCTTCCGTGAGGAGAATGGCTTTAATTAATGTGCACTTGGCACCCAGTAACCAATTTAAATTGAAAACTAGAATAACTTAAGCACAGCCGGTTCCCTCGACTACCAGATACCCGTTACTGAGACAAAGCGACCTCTTGCACTGCAGCTCCACCTAGCGGGCGCAGCATGATACAAATGGAGCAGATACGAAACTATTTGGGTTAGTCAGGTATTTTGTCTATTGCAACTAGAAATGTCTACAAAAAGTGCTTCAGCTTCTAGGATTTGAAATAAAGCTATTCTAGTTCCTTGCCTATAAACTTCGAATTGTTCTACTTCACTTAAACTTTAAATCCTGAAGCTCACGAGTCTTAAAGTCGTAAATTCCTTGAAATCGCTTGTCACGTTTCGCACATAAAGGATTTCAATTTTCCAATGTGACAAAAAGGCATTTGCATACGGAAGAAACCGTAGCAAATAAAATCAAATTTTATGTTGGCCTCAAAAAGTGTGAATCCAAAACAAAATAAAAATCCAAGATTCTCCAGCTGTCATTTTGGCTTTCGGTTTTTGTTTCGCGCATTTTTATTAACCATAAAATTAAATCAATTCGTGAATTTAATTGCCCTCGTAAAAGGAAATAAGTTTCGAATACCGAGGGAAATGCGAAAGTTTCTTGGGGAGCAAAAGAAATATTTCGAATCGAATGAATATAAATGGGTTGACAATTCCTCGGGGAAATGAATATGGATAAGCGTAATAATCTTGAAATTCGCTTTAGTTAAATCATGATTGTTTTCTTTTTAGCGTTTGAACTTACTTCATTTGAATTTATTTCTTACGACATCAAGTACTAAATAAAGATTTAAAAAAATTGCTGAGGCAAAAGTCCGAAGAAGCTGTGGCTTTTGATTTGATTCCACAATATTTAATTCTCTGTCTATTTATGGCCATTTTTGCTGTTTATTTTACGACCAAGCAAATTAATGGCATTGATTTCAATCGCCAGCATCAAGTGATGTTTGCGTTCATAAAATTCCGGCTCGTGTGCGTTTTTATGGTCCATTCTCAGGGGACAAAATGTATCTAAATATGTATTTGTATCTGCATCTGCATAAGTGGCATGTTCTCTGCATGTACCGCACTTCTTAACGAGATTTATTTGTAGACAACAGTTGGTGGCTATGTTTTATGGCACAGCAGCTACGGAAATTCATCAGCCCAAACAAGATTCCATCCTGGGAGATGTCATATACTTGTATTATGCCGACCAGGCCAAAAATACATTTCATATACTGTATGTGCGAGGCAGACGTAACACCAAAGATGAGTAAAAAGTACGTACATTATCTACCAGAATCAGCATCACAATCAGCATCACAATCAAAAGCAGGGAACGAAAAAATTAAATTGCATTTGTGTGTTCCAGCTGAAGAGGCCATGTCCTTTGCCCCCTCCCCATCCCCCTTCCCCTTCCCCCAGCAGCCCCCAACGGAAGAATCCCATATCCATGGGATGCATCTATTATGCGTGTGCATCTGTGTGTCAGTTAAGCCCTACATTTGCACATTAAAAGGCGAACTGTGTTCGGGTGTTTTGTGCCGTGCAGTTTGCAGTTTTGAAATTGCAAAGTTCCTAAGCCCTTAAAAGGTCTGTTTAAGAAAGCTCAAATATATTTCCATGCGCCGTGGCGCTGAGGAGAACAAAAGCCATACGAACTTACTTAATATTTAGGGTTTCTATTTGGGGAAACAGAGGAACTTCAACTGCTCGGGCGTTTGGTTCTTTATTGGCATACAGAATTTTGTTTTTATCTCTGCGAAAAGTTATTATTAGGACTAGTATCGAGCTATGACTATACTTCAAAATTATTTTAGGAAATTAGTTCTTAGTTCAGCAGGATTTTATATTCAACATATGTACATTCACTTCAGGCTGCAGCTTTCTGTTTCAATGGCCCCTCAATCATGTTCCCTAAAAAAGCTTCTCAAGAGATCCAAGAACAAAATCATTAGCGATTACAGTCGGTACAGTGCCCCAACCCGTAGTATCCCCCACATTCTTGGCCATTACACAGATCTAACGAAAACGCCCCACTTTCGATTGATTTTATCCATGGTGAAATCGATCTTCGCCGATCGGCCAGTGTATTTTGCGACCCAAGCCCATTAGCAAAGACCAGAGACTCGCACTTGGCGGAGATGGACGATCTGTGGCCCATTCGATCCGATGGCTGGCCCATTGCCAAATGTGTGTGTATAGAAAGTAATTAAGCAATTTCAACTCGTTTTGACATTTCCAAAAATATGTCAACGAGTTGAGAGAGTGCGAAAAACATAAAAGTTGCCGAGGCAATGGCAAGCTGATGCCGATGGCATTTGCCGGGCTCCCTGCTCCAAGTCGCTGGTCGCCAATTGCCAGGTTCCTCCGCCAAGTACATAGGTTCGCTTGCCAAAAAGCCGAGCAGATAGTGTTATTTTTACGCCGGAGGAGATGGCAGATGGGAGATGGGAGGTGGGCTGGCCATCTAGCCAGCAGTTCGACGATCGGGCGGCCTTCCGCATATACTCGCACGTACAGCACATAGAGCACATAGGTCTAAGTATAGCCGTGTGGCCCGATCTCCGCCAGCTTCGTGCGCCTGCGCCTGCGCCTGCGGTCCACTTGGAATGGATCAGCGGAGCAGAGACAACGCACCGAGAGTATTTTCGGCCAGCCATGTACCCGGCTATATGGCCATATATACGGAGGCAAGGCAAGAAGACGAGACAAGGCTATAAATATGTACATAAGGAAAGTTCCTCAATCCGATCCGATCCGATCTCGATCTCGATCTCGGTCCGCGCCGGTACAGCCAACTCGAGCAGAATTGAGAAACAGAAGCACGAATAAAAATACAAATAAAACACAAATAAAAATACAGATGAAAAGCACGAAACGAGGCGTCAGCGGGCCGAGCAGCGCCAAGAATTAATTTGAGAATATTTTTTGCATCCTTTAGTGCATTACCGATTCTGTAGTCGACCCGTTCAGATCGGCACTAGTCCGGCCAATTGCTGGCGTATTGTTTACATATACACTGGCTCAATAACCCAGAAAGTCAGGAATATCCGTGTGGTGCTCCGGAAAAATCCTGGACAAAGTCTCCTTGAAAACGAATGGGAAAATGTACCAAAATTCCCCCAGTTTGTGTGCCGTCGTGATCCTGTCAAAATATCGACCAAAGTTTACTCCAGAGCAATCGAAAACTTTCAGTTTCTCCGAGCAGGCTTATTGCTATTTATGGAGAGCATCGGAAAAATCCTATAAATATATCCGATCCCGACGGAAAGCGAGCCGAAGATTTAAAATCGCTCCCTGGCCAAACGTGAGTGTGCTAGTGTATTTTGTATGGCGCGAATGAATAATACTCACTGCTCATCGCTATTTTCGTGTTTCGGAAGTCTGTATATAATCCCACTCCTATGTACTTCGCTTTACATAAGTACTTTTGCAGAGGCGGAGGAAACTGCTTGCAGAGGAGAGCTTTCGATTTTTTATTCCGATTTCCTAGGGCCGCAGTAAATTTTAAACATTTTCGCAGCATGTAACGCGTTTCAGTGGTGAATATCCCGACCTTTTCCCAAATTATATAATGATTCATTCAATTTGCCCAGCCACAGTGATGGTTCTGCAGAAAGATCGACAGTATTTCCGAATTCTTCGAGAATTGATCTACATAGGTATTTAAAAGTTGAATAAACCCACACTCTTCTTACATATTTAATAATATTTCCTTGATTTTTCAAGTTTTTAATGTGGCATGTCCTCCTCCAAGCCAAAAGCTAACAACAAAGGAAACCCTTTCAGTTCATTCCTAAACAAATTAATTAAAGACTTTAGTAAAGATTTCTGTAATTTTCTCTTTCCACTGCACATTAAAGCAATGCATTTGCATTTAATGGTAGAGGCTGAAAATATTTTTAAAGGATAATGATATCTGAGAAATAAATATTCTGCCAACAGCTTGTTAATTAATTTCAATTAAAATATGCAACATTAATGGCTATAATAGCATTAAAATAATTAGTTACACGACACAAGCAGACTTTGTGGGACACATTCGACCCACTGAAAAATTGATACAATTTAATGAAAGTGCATCAAAATGGTGGACAGTGCATTAAACTGAGAATTGAACACAAAGGCCGCTCGGCAAATTGCTAATTAAAATTCACGATTGCCATTTCACCTGACACGTTGACGATTTTCATTACAATTCGATTATGTTTCGCTGCAGCGAATTTTAAATGTTAATTGCCAAGAATGTTTCGACAAATTCATTTCTCATTAGTGTTTCTTTTTATTGATTTTATCCCGAGATTCACCAGCAATGAGTTGTACTCGAGTTGTGAGATTGCCAAAACCAAATTAGTAATTGTAATTGATTGAAAACAAAAATCATAGAAAAAATTGGCCAATATATATATTTGTATTTAGCAGATTCTAAAATTAGGCTCAACTGTCAACGCAGCCAGAAATAAGTAAACATATTCGGATATTCATAATTTAATGCGGATTTTGGCTGTTCCAAGCGAGAAGTGAATCCTTTTCAGCCACAGGCGCAAGCTTCAACGGAAAGTGTCAGGAAGCGCTCCTTGAATATTACCCTCCACCAGGAGTCCTCCATGTGGCTCTGAGCCAACATTTGACAAACTCATGCCCGCTATTTGTTGTAAAAACACTCGCACATGTGGCCGCATTGCGTCCGCTTCCAGAGAGCGGTACACTTAGGGCGTCCTGGGAAACGCCTGCAATCTGCTGGCCGCGAGCTGCAGATTGCATCCATGTGCCAGGCGACCATGTGCCACGTCCTCTCATCCGCTCATGCAGCCCATCGAGGGCCCAACTCAGCGTGGGTATTGCCGCTCCGGCTGCTTCAAGTAGGTAGAAAGCGAAGGGAAGGAGCGGGAAGTATGAGAAACACCCGGAGGAACATATGCTGCCGGGCTTGACCTGACCCTGCCTCATGTGTGGGTCTCCGATTTAATTTTAGGCACCTATATAAACGCGTGTTTACACTGCAGCCAGAACACAGTCGCCGTCTTCAGTTCGCGCAGTCAACTCCTCGATCGGATCGAGCTGGGCTTCTCCACGAGCAACTCCGTGCTTCGCGGGCGAGTCCGGATCTCCGCTCGATCTCTGAGGGATGAGCTGGGGTGCCAGGCTGGCCATGTGGCGCGAAGTGTGCGCATAAAAAGTCAAGCAAAAAGGCGCAATTTTATTACGGGCAACCCACATCCACATCCACATCCCCACTCAAACGAAACAAACAAAAGGCAGCCGAAAACCAGAAACAAAGCAGCAAAAAGTTTATGAATTTTTTGTGCAGGCGCGTGAAAGATGCAAAACGAGCAAAAACGTAAAAAACAAAAAATCCAAAACAGATACCGTCGAGTTGTATTCGAAAACGCGGGGAAAGCGGAAAGGGGCTTCCCAGTCACATATAAACACACTTCAGTGCGCTTAAAAATTGCTTTATTGCAGTTGGACTATAAAAACGCACGGCAGCGGACACCGCACAACAAAAAAAAAAGAGAGGACGAGCAAAAGTGGGGAATAAAAAATAAAACTCTTAAACGAAAAGCAGGAAAATTTGCATGCCACAAAAATAAGCATAAGGATTTGCCTCGCACAAAGTAAGAGCAAAAAGGAATTGCCCAAATGCAACCACAAAAGACTGTGGCAAATGTTTTGCAGCTTGCTCCTTTTTCCTTGCAATTACCGTCAGTCGTTGTCATTACTCAGCAGATTATATGGTTTTGCTTATTCCGGACCATCATCATCATCGTCATCATCATCCTCATCGGTAAGTTAGACAATCCCATAAAAACTGTCCCAGTGAGTGCCACCAAAACACCGAAACCTAGCCGAAACAAGGACCTCCAGCCTGTGAGAGTTCCATGCTTCCTTGCATTCAATAGTTATACTCAAGCATATGGAATGTAAAGAAGTATGGAGCGAAATCTGGCGAGACATCGGAAAATTAAAATGTAAAGTAACAATCGCCCACGGAAATGGCTCATCATAAGTTAGGCATTTCCCTGCAAAATCCACAAAATCCACAGCTTACTATCCACAAATATTGTGCCACAAATATCCTAAATGATATGAAATATGAAATTGATTAAATATCACTAAGCACACACACACGGCAAGTGGCAGATGAAAAAAGAAACAGGCAGCATAAATATCAAATATGAACATCCATTAAAATACTTTGCTGATGAAAAATGCAAGTGAGCCGTGCTAAAAATAGCAAGTACGTAAGCAATTCCATCGACAACAAACATTCGAGATATTTTCAAAAATATTCTCGTGTATTTGAAGAGCACACACATGTGGGCCCCGGTGTATAAATACACAAATGGGATTTTGTGTAATACGGATCGCATTTCGCCTTCTGTCCGCCGTTGTTTAAAAATAAATCCATTCGGACTTTGGGCGTTTAGTTTAGTTGCGCGGAGCACGGGAGCCGCCATTAAATAACACTCGGGTTTCAGACCACGCAGAGCCAGTTCGAATTGCAGTTAAGCACCCGGCTGGCCTGTGGCACAGTAAGCCCTCGGAGCAGGAACATGTGGATCCATGTGCGCCAAAGTGGATTTACCAACTTGAAATTATCGCCGAGCATGTGGCGCCATCCGGGGGCGGTGGGCGGCACCTCGGTGGCTATAACTTAATGCAATTAATATGCAAAATCGTGACACTACTGCTCCCGCCCCCTCTGCCTCCCCGAAGCGCCAGAAACTGCGGGATGGCAAGACGACGTGCACAGCATGTGCAGAACGGCGCATATGCCATCCCCTCGCAGCCCTTTCCCCCTTTCCCCCTTTTCCACTCTCCATTTTCCATTTTCCGGCCCGCTTTCCCTCAGCTCTGCGAGGCGCATTAAGAGCAAAGGCAAAGTGCGCTAAATTGATGAGCGTCACGTGCGTTTTGCTCACTCGCTGCCCCTCCCCGCCCGCCCCGCCCCTTTGCAGCGGTGTCATCCGACGAGTGTGGGCGTGGTCGGCGTCAGTGCTGATCGGGCCAATGGATCGGGAGTGGTTATATCTACAAAGCTCAGGGAAAATTTCCTCCCGGAAAAGGGAAAATATATTCCCGAGCTGGGCTCAAAACCAGTGCGATCGCATCGTGAGATCTGAAATAATATTTATTTCTAATTTAATTTACACGAATCAAATGATAGAGTAGAGTGGATTTTCCACATACATTTCCAATCGAGGCGTAAGAACTTTTCCATCCAAATTCGATGGTGATCGAATCTGGTGAATCGGGAGTTACAAAGAAAATCATCTTGTATTTGCATATTTTCTCTGGATTTTCTAAACTGGGCTAGAAATCGTAGTAATTTCGAGTATTTCTTTTGAATTACATCTATAGATACGAAACCATTATAGAAACGACATATAATGGCATATTATCCCAAGATCTGGCTGTAGTTCCATAATGTTATTTCATGAATATTTAAACAATTAAGGATTATAAGGATGGATTTTCCGCAGACTTGTTTAGCCACTTTATCTTTAGTACTCCGAATAGATATGGCAGGATTGGGATATTTTTGCATCCACTATTCTGTGTGGATTATTTACTTCTGAACATCACTAACTGGGCCGCCCAGCCGCCCATATCATCCCATCTGGCGGAAGAGGAGCTCGGGCTGCTCCGTTTATGCGCTCCCTGCGCGGCGGGGAAAGTCTTGAAAGTCGTAAAAGTAAACAGAGCATGTGGTGTACTCCATGGCAGTGTGCCGTAAAGCGCTTAATTTTTTGTTGCCCTTCGCTGGCTCCAATTTGGGGAAGGTGAGAAAAATGGCGCACTGGCTGCCACCGCACTCCATTTCCCGGCTCCTGGCACACAATTTGAGTGCGATGTGCTGAGGAATTGAGCGGCGGCTGTTGGGGCGTTGCTCGAAGATTTTGAAAAACTACCTCACAAGTACGCCAATAATGTGACCCACATTTTGGGGCAACCTAGCCGGCGGGCAGCCTGGACTGAGTGACGCAAAACGGCAAATTAGTTTCAATTAAATAATGTTGTTGCAGTTTAGTTGGGCGGGCGGGGGTCCATTGAAATGGCGGCCACGCAGCAAGTACACACTTGGCCCATTCATAACGCAAATGCTGGAGACGCCGCAAGGAGCCGCAGCGGCATCCTTGCCAGTTTCGTCCTCCGGAGGTCCCAGCATGACCACGCAATAACGATTGCGGGCATAATGCCCATAATGTCCTCATAATTACTGCCCACTCACCCCGCTCCTCCTCGGGGAGCTCGAACGTCCTGTCTGGACCGAGGAGCCACGTCGCAGGACGCAGGACGAAGGAGGCAGGACGCAGGACGCAGCACTAACGTGTTGACACTGCCTGGCCTGTGCAATTTGCATTTAATGTACGCATTGTTTTATTAATTTTGAGTGTTCTCATTAAAACCCATACAACGTTCCTGAAATTAATATTTGTGCTGGAAAAAGAGCACCTTCGGCTGGGGAAACCCTCACTAAGTGAGGAACGACGGGTCGCATGATGAATAAATTTTCATTTTACTTATTGGAGGAAAGGAGGTGTTGTGAAAATAATAAATCTAATTGGAAGGAAAAGCCAGGCGGGAACTACGAAAGGATCTGTCATTTAAATGCCTAAATAAAATAGCACCTGAGTAATGTACTCTAGTGCTTACTCTAAAAATATGTAGCTTAAAATTGCAAGTTCAGATCAAAGCAATCATTTCTATAAGCACATTCCGGATATAATCCATTATGGGTTCTGCAAAGTGTGGCGAGCGTTTCCTCTCCTATTTGAGCATGTATCAAAATTTCTATTACCCGAAATCGTTTATGTCCGAGTTCACATGCATAAATTAACAGATGCATTTGATGAAATTTAGCAAAGGGCGGAGGGCGGCAAAAAATTAAATTAATATTTATTACGCACATTTTGGTTGATTTGGTTTTGCACTTGGCTGCACCGCTCCCACGACCAGACATGGACATGGAGGTGGACATGGCAGTGGACATGGCAGTGGACATGGAAGTGGACATGCAGATGAACATGGACGTGGAACACGGCCAGCTGGCACAAATATTTAGTTGGGACAAATAGCTGTTACATCGTTACATCCAAACAAGTCGCACTGGAGTGTATTTGTTTATATGCATTTATTTACTTAATACTTGTTGGCCGGCTGACTCTTTTTAATATCGGAGAAATTTGCATTTGGTTTTGTGGTCCTGTAATTTGCATAAATCAATTCGAAATTATCCACTGCGACCGGTATCACATTTCTAATTATGTTGATGGCATTTTTAGTTTGTTTAATTTATGCAAATGGAACGAATGTGTGCGTGTTTGCTAGAGTCACTGATTAATTGTTTGTGGCGGGTTAATTATTTTTTACAATGGCAAAAACCCACAGGGAAACACGAACCCTACAGGTACGCAGTGCGCAGTAATTTCCTTTTGTAGTTCAAGTGCCAATTTAATTAAGCAATTCAAAGCCCCTAAATATTAGCAATTAATATTAATGCGACCGCATAAACGCTTGCGGCAGTTTACACGATTTAATTATAGATTATGGCATGCTAATAAATTATTTAGAGCCAGGCCTCGAAGGCTGCGGCATTTTTATACCTTTTACTCGCAGCGTAGAAGGGTATGCTAGATTCGACGAAAAGTATGTGCCAGCATATAGGGTGGATTCTTGATCAGGATCGGATCAAGATCGGATCAGAACTCGGGAACTTCAACACAACATGAACTTTGACTTCCAAGAATCCAAATTTGAAGGTGTGCATGTAAATCATTTTCTTCAGCTTATGTCCAAGTGAAATGTAAATAAAAGTAAGCCTTTTGTAGGCATTCTGAAATATATTATATATAAATATATGCAATTGGGCAAGGAACGTGGAAAGTCGGCTAAATTGACCTGATGCTTTATTATGATAATTTACTGAAAACACTTCCGGCATTCCATTTGTATTCCAGTTCAGTTTAAGCGCAATTCATTCATTTAATAATGCCAGCATTTCACGATTAATTTGATGACGTTAGCATCGAGTTAGTCAATGAAGTGGCTTTTTTCAATTCTAAATCAGACATAATTTGATATGTTTGCATGCGGCTCGTGCTGGCATCTTCCCATCGTGACAGCTCTCGTTTATTATGCCAATTAAAAGGACCTCAGAGCTAATGCGATTTGCGTCCAACAAGGCGATATTGTGCCGTGATTACGCAGCGCAGTGTTTCCTCCTAATTGGAATCATCTTTTAATTGCCATATTAAGCACGCTCGATAAGTATACGCAGTGTGGCCCACATGCACACTCTTCGCTCGCATCCTGCACACACACAAGCACAATGGCACGCAATTATGCATGAAGACGACATTTAGTTGAAATTGATTGCTCACAAAGCGGACACAGCTTCCTACCGAGCTTCCAGCCGAGCTCATTCGGTGCATCCTTTGAGGACTCCCAGGTGTTGAGATGTGTTTGCCTTTGTGCGTTTGCGTGTCTGTCTGCACTCAATTAAGCATCTTGGCCATCGCAGATGCACAGATACACAGATACTCAGATACACAGATACCGCCGGGCCACACGCATTTGCCCACTGCACTTGACAGCCGTTGGCTGGGCTAATTGATAAACTTGGTTCCGCAGACTTTGCTGCCGAATTGCGAGATTTCTGACATCGGACACTGGGATGTGCTGAAATTAAAAAACTGCTTAAAAACTGTGAGCAAGCACAAATATCAGAGCAGCCAGCGCAAACATGGATTTCGTTTCAAAAAGCTGTGCTATAAGTTCAAGGGTATATACTCGTACATTTCCCTGGAAAAACATGCCTAAAATAATGTGTAATTTTTGCATTTCCTTTAGATGATCCTAATGCAAAGTTAGGTTCTTGAAAGTCCTTAAATTTCGCACATTTCCTTACATACCACATACCGCCTTCAAATAAACTCCAATAATCCGCAACAAGCAATTTCTGCCTCATTTATTCATGCATGCCTGTAGAGCCAAGCAAACTTTACCCCTCAGTTCAAATTGGAAATAAATCGAAATGCTTGACCCGAAAATAGGAGAAACTCCATTTATTAATGCAAAATCGGAAATTTGTGCTGTGTTCCTGTTTGTGCGCACACGTGTGCCTTTGGCCGAAGGTCCTGCAGGATTCAATATCCTTCAACGGCTCAATTTATTGCGATGTTTATGTGGAGGGCGTAAATCAAGAGCACAAATGGCATGGAATTAATAAATGAGTCCACACGTGATGAAAATTTTGCTTCACATACTTTGATTATTCTTCTGATTGTTTCGTCTTTGAAAGGAAAATGAGGAAAATGGCCATGCTGCATATTTTGCCCTTCTTCCTGCTCGGCACTTCGAATTATTTGCTGGCTTGTTGTGCAGCCCTTTCATATTTTATGTTAATTAAATTTGTTGCCCTGTTTGGCTGCAACTTGAAACCAATTACGCAGGATGTGAGTGGGCGTTCCCATACTGACAGTCTGCTATGCTGCTTAATTCCTTCAACTCTAACTCCTGGCTGCAGCTCGTTACTTCGTTACTTAGTTTTGACATGCTGGGCGGGTGGAGCGCGGCGGAAAATCGTGGAAAAGCGTGGAAAAGCGTGGCGTTGGGGGCGGGCTCTCCAAGCCGTGAAATAACTTCCGTTGCAAATTTCATTTTCGTTGCACACATTTTTTATTCACACAAAATGCACAATGCAGACACATGAAATACAAGAGGGCACCTGGGTGCAAGCATGTGTGTATGGTGTGTATGGTGTGTGCATGTGTGCAGTTCGGTTTGAAAGTTTGTTACCCCTTTCGGTAATGAATGCGTTTTAATGAGGTTCAAGTTGTGACAGCAAATAAGCTGGCAATCGTAACATAAGCCCCGCTCTTTAAGCTTCTCAAGTAATAATTGAATTGGCTGTGCTTTCTAAACAAAACAAGGGCGAACGCTGTAGCCGACTATCAGGTACCCGTTACTTAGCTAGTGGAAGCGGGAACAACAAGTTTCAACATTTTAGAAAAGAGTCGTTTTAAAAAGCGTGCAAGTATTGACGGTTTAAGGGCGTTAGAGTGGGCGTGGTAACATGGTTTACCAAACTGTCGATGTCTTTCTATCTTATATAGCTCCTGAGATCTCGAGATATGATCTGAGATCATACGGACGGACAGACAGTCATACGGACATGGTCAGATCAGCTCGGCTAGTGATGCTGATAACGAATATATATTATATACACTTTATAGGGTTGGAAACGCTTACTCTACTAGTAAGGGTATAAAAACATAGCATAGGGATTTTCCCTTCTAACCTATACATTCATACTCGGTTTCCAAATAATGTGTGGGAGTAACATATATCTGTAAATATATATTTATGTTATATATTTATGCTAAATTATAAATATATTTCCGCTCTGTTCACAGGACAGCCAGAAATTTTATTTGCAGAGAGTTTGTTGAGCCTTAGGCTATGCTGAATTTGTTTGGGAAAGTGTTGAAATGTTGAACAACTTAAATTAAAATGACTTTCAAGTTTTCTTTATTTTTCCCTTTGCCTTCACAATTTCACCTTGTTTTCCAGTTGCCATCCGAATGCGACTTTTGTGCTGCCATGGAAAATGAAGTGGTGTAAATAATTTGAATTTAATACTATTTACTCTCGTTGCTGATGCCTCTCGCCAAAGTTTGTAATTATTTTCTTACTTCGTTTGCCACAAGTGTGAAAATCAGCACAACTTTTTCGTGTGAAGCCATTTTCCTTGCCTTTCTCTGCGTTTTTTGTACAGCTCTATTTTTATGCTGCCCCAGGACTGTCGCAAAAAGAGAAGCAAAGTTTTTATAGTTGCTTCGAGCTTGGGAAGAGTTGTTCCGCACGTCCATTAAAAATATATGGAAAATAATTTCGTTAAATTTTCGGTCAGTCCCCTGCACTTTTCCCACCTTCCTCCGTTTGAATAAGAGTGGAATTGAGGTTGGTTCGGAGCTCGGATAAGTTGGAGACTTTTCTCTCCACTCGATTGGTTTTCCACCAGCAAAACGATCAGGAGAGGAAGAGGCACCACCCAAAATTGAAATTATTGCATGTTTTTGGGAGAGAGACAAATAACAGAGAGAGAGAGAGAATTGCAGAGGGGAAAGCGCATTGATAAGAATGTTTGTCAGAAACCGGTTTTACAGTGAGCTCTAGATAAGAGTTCCCACTTAAATATTAATCAGTAGGGTAATATATTTAATTTTTTTTTTTATTTTTACTTAATATTTTATAAAACAATTAATAATAAATTCCATAAAAAAATAAATAATAATTCCAAAATAATAAATTCCACATATATTGTAAAAATAATATAATATACATATATCGGCCTTTGCAAGTTTAGCATTTGAAATAATAAAGGGCTACTTTCACCACATGGAGCGAGACCTGTACTGTGTTACCTTTTTGTTCATTGAGGGGCTGCTGTCTGCTTTCCGGATTTCCCAAGTTTAGACTGCACTGACCGATTGCAGAGTTCACACACGACTTATCACCACCGAATAGGAATATACATTTGTATAAATAGAACAATGGCTACAATGGATGATTATTTCCACAAGGTGCAGCGGAAACATCCGACCATTCTGGACGACTTGCGAGAAGTTTTCAAAAACTCGCAGAGCGATTCACCACAGCGTTCCATAACGCTATCCCAAATACGTGGTAAGAACCCCGAACTGTTGTTCCAGGTAAAAACCATTAACTTTCAATCGTCATTGCAGCTGCCTACAGTCAACGAACTGGCCAGGACTTTCCCATAAAGGGTGGCACGCGAACCCAAATGTGTTTCGTCCTGACCATCCCTTATGTTGCCTGTTTCACCAGTCAAATCGGCACATTGCGATTTTTCACCATCGACGTAAGCCAGGATTAAGGGGGAAATTAAAATGAAAGTCTAGTCCGACCCGTGCAATTTCTGTATACTTATGCAGTGTATAGCAATATTTAAAAATAATTAAAATTCCATGAATATAAATTAACAATAATGAACTAAAGGCAATAGGCTAGCTAACTATTTGGTAAGAGCTGATGTATTTACATGACCTCCCATATGTTTTTCGATGGCCTAATTCGCAGTGATCAAGTGAAAACCGGTACTCCCGACCTACCCATTATATAGCCAGTTATGCTGACTTCAGGGGAAAAACTCAATCAGTTCTCCACTAAATGATGACATCAGCTCTTTGTAGTTTAACTAATTAGCCCAGTGGAGTTTTACTTAATATTTGAAAGCAGTTACGACCAAATTAAACATAAATACTTCTTAGGGCTATCTACATACTGTAGAATATTTACTTACATGTACTTGAATGGTACTGAAACTTAATTCACATCAGGTATCTATATCCACTCTATAAGGATTCGAGTCAAATGAACCATTGCCATTAAAAAAAATGTTTGATAAAAGCCATACCCATATGTTTTAAAACTACAACAGCCAAGTAATTTGCCTATCAAAATATACTTTCGCTGGCCAGGGGCGACAACTTCCAATTCCAATTAAAATTGCCAATTGTAATTTGGGCCATGGCTGCAATCAAACGGCGACAGCAAACAGCGTCGGGAAAATCGTCGGGAAACTCGCTGGGAAAACCTCAGTGCCAACCGAGGGACGACTGACAGCGTGTTGTTGACCGCCCTGCGTTTGCACATCAAATCAAATGTATTTGCTGCGGCAGCTTTTTGAAACAAAACCCGGCAAAAAGCGGAGCAGCCAGGCAAACAACTAACAGACAGAGCTGAAAACAAACGAATTCCGAGGTTGCAGCTGCAGTTTGGGGAGCTGGAGGACTGGATAGCTGGAGAACTGGCGACTGGGGCCACGCAGTCGCAGAAGCGAGGGACCCACAGCCAAGCATAATGAAACTAAATGCCTGGGCGAAGGAGCAAAACCCCAAAACAAATTCATTACGGAACTACACCTCAGGGGGTGATAATTCGATTCAGAGAAACTTTGGTGATTATTTATTGCTTCATGCGGCGACTGCGACTTTTCCTCTGTGCTACCGGGTGGTTTTTTGTCAGTGGGTTTCCCTGGTTTCCCGTTTTCCCGTTTTCCCGGGCTTCCCGTCGCCTTGGCCCAGTTCCCCTGGTGTTTTGCTGTTAGTGTCATAAAATGTTTTGTGGCCCAAAACTCGGCGCTGAAACTCATTATTTTGTTCATTAACACTTTTTTGCGGATGCGTTTTGTCCTTTTTTTACTCCGTTTGCTTCTGGCTTTTTTACCTTTTGTTTTTGTGGCTAATGTAGGTATAAAAAGTTAGTATGGCCTGAAATAAGTTATCCAATAAAATGCACACATAAACAATAAAATCAGTGAAGCACTGCTTAAATACAGCCTTTTATAATTACTTTTGCTTTTTAAATGCTGTGCCGTATTTATTATTCTTGTCATATTTCTGGTGGCAGGGTACTCACAAGTCCATCAATCAAGTAACCGATCGACCACTTAGTTATGCCCCCATTTCAACTGTTCAGTCCCTTGATGAGGATTTCCTGCAGGACTATTAATTACATTTTCACATTTGCTTATTTGTGCTTTCCACTTTCCCTTATTTTGAATTTTTGCCAGACATTCTGCAAATGTTTTCAAGTTTATGAAGGATCCCTATCCGAATCGATCTGACCATTTCGTCCGCCTGCCTGTCTATAAATTTCTTTTAAATTTGTATAGATTTTTTAAGATTTTTCCCTCGCGCCTCCACCAGCTGGGTAAGGGGTATCTGATAGTCGAGGAAATTTACTATAGCGTCCGTGCCTGTTTTTCCATAAAGTTGTTGTTGCTCACTTTTAGTTTTCCATGGCCATAAACATTTTTTATGCTTCATTAGGGTTTGTTTTCGCTTTCCTTTCTGCTCCGTTTGTTGTTTGTTGTTTTGGATTTGTGTCTGTGCTCCTTTCGGGCCGACTTATCAGTGGCCAAGTTGAAATGTTGTTAACTTTTACTAGCTGCGGTTTTAATTCATCAGGAGGAGGCTGTTTCGACCACCAGACCCCTGTCCTTGTGGGTTATGGCACTTTGCTGAGTTATAAAATGCTATCGAGGGCGCAGGATTTTATGTCTCAGGGTCAGATAAATGTGTTTATAGCGTAATCTTTTATTTGGGCTCTCCTGGAAATGCGTTGGGTCCGCATCTCCATCTCCATCTCCATCCACTGCGACTGTCGTTTAATTTCTGCGGTCTTTGTTTCGGACTGAAAGAGGGACTGAATTGGCTTCTCGGCCGAAAGGGAATGTTTACGACACGCATACGCAGCGTGGGACGCACAAGTAGATGGAAGAGATTTGTCGTGGGATTAGACAGAACATTGGGGGCTGGTCATTAGGCAGACCAGCCAGCTCCACATATTATGCCGGGAATTAGAGAGCTGAGCGCCGAGATAGGGGCCACCATTAATTAACACAAGTAGATGAAGGCTAAGGGCTTTGCGATGGAAGAGGAATATTGTGCATGTTGAACAGAGAAGATAAATTATCATTGCGCAACAAGCGTTGTTTCGTTTTCTTTGCACAAGTTCTTTATGGTCGCAGCTTGAAAATTGTAAAGTATAATATCTATTTGGTGCATAAGAAAGCCCCCCACTCTTCCCCAATATTCGGCCTCCGAAAAGAAAAGTGGCGATGAAAAGTTTACGCTCACAGCAAATTTAGCCAGCTGCCAATTGCTGTGAAGTGTTTATGGTAGTCCAGCTCCCTGGTCCCCAGCATTCCGCTCTAATCGCTTCTAATAACGCACAAAATTGAAAAACTTATGCGATATCATTGGGGAGTCCTGCCGCACAACAAGTGCAGCCGCCCTGCGGGGGATTCCCCAAGAACTGGACCCGACAACTTGTGACAACTTTAAGCACATGAGGCAGGGCCCGCAAAGTAAACAGGACGAGGGAGTGAAAAAAGTGTGCGGAAGGCACTAGGCGCTCTGCTCGACTTCTGGATACCCTAGCAATTTAAGGCGTACCACAACTTTGGATGAATAATTCGAACTATGTGGATGGTAAGCCGGAGTAATCCTTAGCTGGGACAGTACCTCTACTGCCATGGGCATTTGGATGATTTGCAGTACAGACGTCTTCTATATCCCTGGGTTCCACAATCACCAGGTACTGCAGTCGGGCAGGAAAGAACAAGGAGCAGGAAGGAAACTGTCATGATACGCCCGTAAACACGGCCAGCTGGCCAGGATTGAACCATCGGATCGGGTCGGATGGGGTCGGATCGGTTCTGTTCGGTTGTGTTTGCTGGGTGTCCTGTTGTCCCGGTGTCCTGGTGTCCTGGTATTTGCTTTGCCCTGTGTGTCACTTTGGAAATTGTGCAGACTGTACAGTCGCAAGGCGAGCGGCGTCTGTTTGCTTTAATTTCTCTTATCGGCAGGCAGCTGCCTAGTGTCGCCCACCGCCCACCACCCAGCCACGATTCGTCCTGGAAAAGCTCCTTTTTCTTGCCATCTACTTGGGCGCCGAGCTGAGGCTGCTGCTCCCCGTCTCCCCAGTGGCATACAATTTTAATTGCACAATGGCAGGTCCTTTTGTTTTCCAGCTGCAATTTTTAAAATGAATTCATGGCCTGCTCGGGCGGGTCTACGGGTTATTCTGGCGCTCCTTTGTTTGACGTCTCTAAATCCGCAAGGGGTTCCTCGCCAGCTCGGGAATGGGAAGCGGCTAGCTGCCAACCAGCCAGCCAGCCAGCCGGCTATTTAATTGAAAGTTGCTTTGTGACTCCGCCGGGTGAGCTAATAAAATGTTTAACTTTGATTTAGTTGAGGGATTTCTGAAATGAATGCACTTAAAGTCGCCTTTGCCACTCGCTTGGGCTACACTTTTCTAAAAGATTATTATTATAAATAGAGATCATAGAACTTATCCCTTGGAAAGTGGTGTCTTTGGCACAGCTACCCAATCAATGCGCTGCCTTTAATAAAGTTCTCCAAACCCATCTGTTTATAACAAGCTTGTTTATAACAATATTTTAAACGGCTTGGGTGGTTTTTGAGTGATTTTTCGAGTCCTGAACTCGGCGCCTTCTTCCAACTAGGAATCAGCCATTTGAATTATGAGCTAGCCACAGGCCAAATGGGTTGCTGGGGGTGGGCAAAGGATTGGGTGGTGGGTGGTGGGCGGTGCTGCTGGCCAGGTGGGCGGGGTCATGTGTCAACAGGCGGGCTGCAGTGGATTGCGGTCAGCTGCATGTGTGTGTGGGTGTGTGGGTGTGTGGGTGCGTGTGTAATGGGGCTTAATTTGTTAAATTCCATGGCTTATAATTGGCATCGGGCGGGCAGACCGCAAGGCACGGCAAAGCAAATCGTGCAACTGGGGCAAGTGCAAAGTGTAATTATGTGGTCACTTGGTCAGCCGTAAATTCCGATTTGTTTGCCAGTGTGTGGGCATTTGGGTTCAGAGTTCAAGCGAGTTCCGGCAAATCTTCTTGGCTAAAACCGCAGCAGAGTGCGGGCATTTTTATGGCACTTTTATGACCGCCGGCTAGGAAATAAAAATAAAAATAATGGCAAGTGCCATTAAAGTTACACCTTGCTTGCACTCGAGCGGCAAAAGTGCCACAAAATGCATACAAAATTAGTTAGCAAGTATAAGATTTCACGAAAGAGCCCCGTGTAGTAGAATTCAAAATGCTCTTTGCACACTGCGTTATCCTTATAGCCTAGGATGCGCAAATAAATATAAATAAGAGCACTTACCTAAATTCCCGAGATAAACCCGGCCCAAAAGGATACATGCTCGCCCAAAATTATTCAAACAGAACCCCCGAGGCGGCCAACTTGCAACATGGCCAGTGTCATGAACAAGTTTTTAGTTTTGTGGCTCTTTCTTCTATAATTTTTTTATTTCACAACTTTATCCTTTTTCGGGACGAGCGCACATTGCACGCATTTTCCACGGAAAAAAGGAGGGAAATCTAAAAACTGAAACAAGTAACTTTTGAGCCATTGTTTTCTTGTAAATGGCAACTGGAACCAGCAGGCTGCGATGGCCAGAAAGGC